GGAGGGGGAGTAGGTTAGGGTTAAGGCCGCCTTAATCCTAACCCTCCCCCCTCTTTCTCCCGTTTTTGCGCATGCCACGCAGGCTAGAAAGGATAAGGAAATGGAACAACTCTGTGTAAGGATCGCTTGGACAAACAGCAGCGAGGGAAAGCCGGATTTTGGAGTAGATCAGTATTCACAATATAAAAATAACACTTAAAATTGAAAGCACCTTATCACCTTGCCTTAAATTGTATAAAAATCTGGAATTTCGGTCTGTAAAAACGCCAAAAAGGGCTTACAGATGCATTTTACGGCTGTGAAATAGTCGAGGAACTTTCTAGTTTTGTGGTTTAATCTCCATATTCTGAAGACAGTAATTCACAGCAGCTAAAGGGAATTTCTAAATGAGGTATGTGAAAGGGGTACCATTTGTCAACTCGAGCCTGAGCCTCCCCTTATAAAACATCTCTAAGTACCCCCTGCCGCGTGCTTTCACAGCTTATACTATGGCAGCATTCCTTTTGGCCAGCGATCAGGCGTTTTTTTTTTTAAAGAGAATAATAATAATAACCAGGAGGCCCTGTAATTACACTATAGAGACACAGGGAAGCCATGATTGTAGAATATACTAACCATTCTAAAGTGAAGCCCACAGGGGCACAAGTAGATACCCTAAAGGTATTCCGCCAACTTTCCGCTTTTAAAGAGAGAGATGGCATAAATTACTTCTGATATCTTGTTTGAAATTTTCAAAACCAGAAATCCCACCGAAGGCTTAGACTGAGGGTAAAACTCTGCCAGTTGAAAGAAAAAGAAAAAAAAGAATAACCTTCTTACATATTGAAGCCTTTAAGATGAAAATTACACCCTAAAATGAGGGTAAAAACTCTCCCAGTAGAAGAAAACGTACGAAAAAGAATCTTGAAAAAGATTTTTCACAGTGAAGTCTTTAGATAATATTTCCAACCAAAAGTGAGGGAAAAAATCTCTCTCAGTAGAAGAAAACGTACGAAAAAAAATCTTGAAAAAGATTTTTCCACAGTGAAGTCTTTAGATAATATTTCCACCCAAAAATGAGCGAAAAAATCTCTTCCGGTTGAAGGCTTGCAGAAAATGTTCCAATCATTCATTTTTTTATTCAGTTTGGGCAGAGCTCTGACCATGGTATGTGTACGCAATGTAAGTCGCCTACAGTGTTATAACTGTAAATGATTCACTTCAAAATGAGAATTATTGTCGAAATACTAAGTACTTTTGTTGATTACCATGCTAAAAACAACGGAATATGAGACTTTTAAGAATACAGCACCGATGATAGGTTCTTGGTTAGTAGAAAATATATTTCCTTACCTTCTACAATGGAGGCCAAAAGAACTTGGGACTGTGTGGAAAACCCTTCTAAGTAGTTGTTACATAGAACTCTGCTGCTAATGACAATTTTTTGATCCGCTTTGGGTTCCTTCCGTTGTTCTTCTCCCCCCCCCTTCCCCGCCCCAGCAAATGATGTGGCCAAAAAAGGACTTATTTTCACCCATTTTGCTCAAAATTCAACTTTGTTTGGGGGGGGAGGGGAGGGGTCGCTAGTTTTACTAAAATCACTCGAAAGGTCCCAACACTTTTGACCTCCCGCTGTAGATCTAATGGACCAATCCTGCAAAATCCAAAATTACTATGCTATAATCAAGAGAAGAAGAGCTTTGGATATACTAACGGGGAGGATCCAGAATTTTACTTAGGAGTGGGTGCATCAGGAGGGCCCGGTTCAAACGCCGAACTTTTCATGTAACGAACCTAATGCATAAATGGTTATAATGTATTTTGTAAGCAGTTTGACAGAAATGAAAATTTTTCGCGTTTTGAACCTAGTTGAGCTGCAATTAAGATCGGTGTATGAATCAATTCAGCCGTTCTTACTAATTTGGGTCGGCCTTAATTCGAATTAGGTTCGGCTCATGAGACGTTCGGCGTCTGAACCGGGCCTAAGGAACTACCATTTTAACTACAATTTTACGGCGTTTAACATAATTCTTTAACCTCGTCTCATGTTTTATTTCAGCACCAATAAAACACAAAGTTTTTTTTTGTTTTGGCAGAATACGAGTTGTATTAGAAAGCCGCGGGTCATCTCGGGGGGGGGGGGGGGGGGGTGTGCACCCCCTGCACCCTCCCCACTAGATCCGCCCCTGTGACGGTATAAGAAGGCTTCATTTTAAATCAGTATTCTCGGGCTAGCATACCCCGGACTATGCCCACGTCTTTGCGATCGCCCCGCCGTCCCAGCTAGAACTGCAACAACACGACTCTACAGTAACGAACCTAGTACATATTTACTACAAAATAAAAAACTCAAAAATGTGATCCTTCTTGAATCGTGTCAAAACTCTCTTCTAGATTAAAAAATTTCCAACAATTTCCTCTCTTCTAATTCTAGCAACACGCGGATTTATAATACATTTTAGCTCCTATACAAATGAAGCACGACACAGAATTGATTTGTTTCTTTTAAGCCAAGGATAGTCAGTGAAAATATTTCAATCAAAATGAACGATTCTCTTCGCCACATGTCTTGCTATAAAGCCCCGTGCAATCTAACGCAGCATTGTTGGCTAACAACTCCCTACATTGTTGGATGTTACATGTTGCGTCCGTTTCCACACCCTGTTACGTGTTGTTGGGTGTTGTTGGTCAAAGTTTTGAGCCAGCAACTCCCAACATTTCTTTTGTTCCGTGATCGCCGAAGCGTAGCGCAACAATGTTGGATCCGTTTGCCACAGCTCTTCCAACATTGTTGGAGCTACGCACAAGTATTACACATAGTTTGCAAAGTCCTATGGGTTGTATCCTTCCCACGATGCACCGCAAGTCCTAACATTGATGGGAGTTGTTGCAGCCATTTGCACACCATTCTCGTCCCCAGAGCCCGTCGTTTCTTGGCCACGTGGTCTGGATCGTTACAAATTAAGCCGAGTGGCTCTGGGGACGAGAATGTTTGCACACAACTGCCAACATGGACGCAACAACTCCCAACATTGTTGGTTTAGCACGTAGCTTAAAAGACAAAACTGACTAGTTAAAAAAATAAAGGTCGTTAAGGATATCTTTACCCTGGTTCCAAATATCCCTTGCCCGAATAATTACTTAAAATAAAACCATAAAACCACGCCTATGGTTTTTAAATTCCCCTAGGTATTTTTTCTTCGACAGGTTGAGCTTTGTTTTCGCATCTTTGCCCCTAAACAGAGCTTTGTCTAGCTTCTTTCTCAGTTCAGAAGGTAACATTAAGCAAATGTCGAAGGCTCAAACCTTTAACACAACGCTGTTCAATTTTCGGCAAAAAACCTGACAATTTTGCTCTTGCTGCGGAAGCTAACAACGTCTTGCTCTTGCTTCTAATATTTACTACCGGCATACTACCGGCTTCTTAAGTGGCTTAAGGCCCAGGGCTGATTGTTTTACCTAAGAAATAATGATTTGTTCGCTGTAATTTCGATAAAAAAGAATAGAATCGAATAGAATCGAAATCTAGTACACAAAAAGGATTTCATCATCCGTCGCTATTACGGTTTACCTATCGTTTTCAAAACTTGTAACGGGTTGTTTGGGTAAAGAAGAACTCGCGATTTACACTAGGGTGAAATACGTATTCTAGCGACAGACATTGCCAGTCAATCATACGTCTTTGGCCCGGCCAGGCCTTAAACACCTTGAGTTGGAGACTCCTAGGTATTGGACATTGCCTTGTAATGACAGAAAAGTAATTCTACTGACATTTGAACCGCTTGTTTTTATCATCAAAACTATCCAAATAGCAGGTTTAATGTTAGGGCCTAACCGTACTTCGCAAAATTTCTTTGTTTTGCAAAAAAATCCCTAGTGTCAACAGGAAGCCATTTCTAGTGCGATCGATTTTTTGGCGTCGAGAATATATGTATTTGTCAGGCGACAAAATCCTTTGCTACTCGACAGCTATCCTTCGTCGGCTCTTCCTATTTTGCGAATCTGACCAATTAAAATTGGGTGTCTTAGAAGCGAACAAGGTTGCAAGAACGAGAAATTAGGGATCTTAAGCAACGGCGTTTTTTAGCGACGTACGTCAACCGGAAGTGACGTCTTTTTCATTTTAAAGCACTTTGACGCTACCAAATTTGTATTTCTAAGTGTCTTTACTATTATAGAGGCGATTTGTCAAAAAAGTGGGACAAAAAAATCGTCCAAAAATGAAAGAAGACCACTTCTGGTTGAGGCTCGTCGCTAAAAAACGTCTTTGCTTAAGCTCACTAATATATTGGTGCGAACAGGGCCTTAGTAATGATCCCTTTTCTACGAAATAACGATAATCCTTCAACAAATCGTACCCAGGGCTTTCCCCTTAGAAAATGGGAGGGAAAGCCCTACAGACGAGGTTTGATTATTCTTCTGCGAATTAATATAATCCAGAAAAGAACTTGGGTTGGCGGTAGCCCAAGCTGGAAACCGATGTTATAGTCACCTTAACCCTCCATCGGTTAAGGGGACTCAACTTAATCCTCCAACAACGTTTTCTCCAACTGAAACAGCTCGTCCTCTCATTAAACTGAACAAGATGTTTCCACTGCTTTTTCTCCCTCCCTGATCCACCGCAAGTCATGTGGTCTGTGGCAGCGACTAGCAAAATAAATTTGAGCACAGGTGGGGAAGGGGGGAGTTTCAGTTTGCCATTCAAAATACAGGGCAAATGCAGTCCGACGTTTGCAAGTGTCTCAGACATTTTTCTTGTAAATTTGAATGCAATTTCAATGCAAGGAGAATAAGACTGTTTCAATCTCAGCAGACTAGCTTGTTAGCGAAACACATTCGTCTGACATGACACAGCCGTACTGAGCTGCCCGTCTGCCTTCCTGCATGGCGCTAATGACAAGTGACGGTTATTACCTTTGCGTGCAACTCTCCTTTTTAGTTCCTGTTAGTTCACCTTGCACTCGCTGTTGGCGCTTGAGTTGTCATTGCCGGGGGGTACAGGCAAAGATATAACGTCTTCCTGACCAGAGTCATTTGTTGAACTCGTAATTGTTTGTGATTGTAGCGTCTCACCACAGCCTCGAAGAAGTTCCACCTTTTCGACGTGGTGTTCTTTTTTAAAGTGAAAAGGTACTCCAGTCTTGCACGAAACAGTTACTTTCCCTACACCAACAATAACGACTGCTGGTTTCATTTCAACGGTCTTTTCCAATAGGTAATCCCCTTCTTTTAACAGAACAATTTGATTTACTTCCTCACGCTCCGTGATCTCTTGAACATTGCGCAATTCATCTGAGCTTTTAACAGCATGGATTTGTAACGCTCCATAACGTTGAATGACGGAAGAAACATCTCGACCAGAACTCAAGTGATTAAAGATAGCAGCAGCGGCCAAAGATTCGTGTTTCCTTCCTAACTCTGCTAAAGTCGCTGCCTTGGCGTGGTACCCAAGAAACCAAGAAGGATTCGCTCTGATAGAAGATTCTGAATCTTTTAACGCAAGCTCCAATAAGGATTCTCGCTCATTTATGTTCCGGGTTTCCTCTGCTGATTTCAAGCAGGTTGACGCTCTAGCTGTTAGGAGGTGTTCGTCTTCTGGACATATGGCTAATGCCTCGCTGTAGTGAGATAAGGCCTCATCTAATTGGCCACGCTTGAGGCTCTCCTTAGCTTTTTCTTTGAGCATTTTGATTGAATCAACTGAGGATGACAGTTCTATTTTTTCAGTGTAAACGGTTTTATCCAAGTGCAATAGAACACCTTTGGTGCAGACGATTTGGACTTTTCCCATACCAACCATTACTGCGTTCGCTGGAACTTTCAGTGGCTTCGTTAACTCATATCTGCCTTCCTTAAGCAAAATAACAAGATTCCTTCCGGCCTCTCTCTTGACTATTTGAAGGAGATCATCAACTGTAGCAATCACGTTTATAATGTAATGTCCGTAGTGCTCCACAACGGCTGGTATTCCAGAGCATTGGGATGGGAGGAAGTAACTGGCAACAGCAGCTGCAGCAAGACTTGGACCTCGATGTCCAAGTTTAGCGAGACAAACAGCTTTCCAGTAGTAGCCTTTCACCCAAGAAGGATCTATAGTTATCGCCTTATTTGCGTCTTGACAAGCGCATTCAATAAGCTCCCGTTTAGTTTGCACTGAACCCTCTTGCTCTGAAAGCTTCACGTACGTTGCTGCTCTGTTGGTTAGCACCTTAGCATCGTCTGGAAAACGTTGAAGTGCTTCATTATAAAGCGCTAGAGCCTTCGAATAATTTCTTGATTTGAAAGAGAAATTAGCAATGCCTTTGAAGTTCCTAGCCTCGACTACTCTTGCGTCACAACGCGTTCTTGCGAAAAAACGGTTGAATACTGGTTTCTCATTGCACTGTCTTACTCGTTCTTCAATTTTTTGGGCCTCGTTCTGATGTCCAAGGGATTTGAGTACCATCACAAGAAAAGAGTACGCCTCTTTAACTTCTGGGTGACTATCAACATGATACATTTTCTTTCGAAGTAAAACAAACATTTCTGCAATATTCCGGTAAAAGGTTCCATCTCTCTTCTTAAATTCGTATTTATAGTCTCGGAAACATTTCAGTAACTCCAGAAGAACCAAGGCTGCATGTTCACGACTGCTTTCATCAACTAAAAGGTGACTGTCGATCATACCCTTGTCAAATTCTACACGCTGCAAGTAATCGTACATTCGAGCCCACCTGTCTGCCAAAATTCCGCGAAGTGTATCTTCAGCCCCTTGTGGGTCAAAACAACTAATAGTGGAAACTGCACTTGTTATCCCCCTGATGTAATAATCTGAGCACTGAGGTTGTTTCTTAGCAATGTACAACAACTCTTTGGCATAATCTCGTGCCTGGACTAGCTTCCCGCCAATAACGAAATGATTGGTTACAAATTGTAAAACACGAACCAGCTCTTTGTGATCTGGGGGATAGATTTTTCGAGCAAGTTCAAGAGCCTTTAAATAACGGTCCAAAACGCACTGAAAATTACCAGCCGACACGTAATTTTCAGCTCGTGCTATACAGATCTGCAGATCCACAGTCTTCTCATCAGATATTGATAAGCTCTCGAGTTTCAGCAATTCCCTATAGTTTCTCTCCCATTCCCCTTCTAATGCGTGATAGGAAGCCATGTGCTCAAGAACTCCATATTTGACATCGGCGTCAATGACAAAACCAGACGTTTCAAACTCAGCTAGTTCCCGTACACTTTGTTGAGCCTGTTTCTTTGCGTCTTCATAGTTCTCACGAGTCGGAATGTTCCTTTTACTGATACTTGCGTCGACCATCAATTTAAGAAGGAAATCTGGGTCCTGATTGCCTCGAATTTTAACAATTTTCAACTGAAAATCGCAGAGCTCACTGTTAATTTTGTTGAAGAACACGTTGCTCAAAATTAAAGATCTTGCGAAACGGCATAGACAAAAGAGGTCATCGCTGCAAAGAAAATGGGTCAAATTGTCATCTGGATCTAAAGCATCGATTTCTTCTTGAATATGATTCTTTAACTTGCGTACATTTAAAATAAGGGCAATGACAAGACTTCTTTCCTCTTCTTTTAATCCTGATAGATTCGGTAAAGTGCCATGTTTAAAAATATTCACACAAGTCCCACTGGTTTTTACTTTTAATGCTAAACGAAGAAGTCGAGTGGCAGCCACTAGTGTTTCTACCCTTTGCTTTGTAGTGAGACTCTCTCTAACAACTTCTTGAACAAGTTTATGGACACCGAAAACTTTGACCCGATGATCAATTGAGAAAAGCGAATAGCATGACAGCACCTTCAGAAGGGCGACAATGTCAAACTTTGAACGCGCACAATCCCTTAACTCTTCTTGTTCTAATTCAGGATATCCAGGATTGATCACATCAATTGGGATATTTTCAGACTCCAAAAAGGCCGCAACTTGCATCATAGTGGCGGCAGCTGGTGATCGTTGTTTTACATATTCAAAATTCATCTCCCAAGTTGTATTTACCGACAAGCGATGTTGAGCTTCCATGCTTAGTGGTGTAACACGCTGTTGTTGTAAAAGGCGCACTTTTACCGTTTGATACTTTTCTAGGTACTCAGTAAAGGTCAGTGGCATAGGACATGCAGTTACGTATGCTGCTGCCTGCTCCAGAGCTAGTGGCAATGCACCTAGTTCTTTCGCCAGTGAAATCGCACCTGGATCAAGGGACTCTTTTATAAGACCAGTTCTTTTCATGAGGAATAAAGCGCCATCTTCTACGCTTAAGCATGGCAACTCCAAAAAGTCATCAGTTGAATACATCAAGAAAGCTCTAGCGTCCTTTGCATTTTGCCTTGTTGTTAAAAGTATGCGGCCGTTCTTTAGTGATTTACCAGTTTTTTGCCACGGCCCCTTGCATATCTTCTTCACACCTTTGGGACACCTAGGATCTTGCAATTCGTCCACATTGTCCATCACAAGAAGCCACGGAAGGTCCTTCTTGGACAACCACGCAAGGAATTTGTTCAAGGTGTCATCGATGCTGTCATTTGTTGAGGAACGAATGTTTCTCAGAGAAAGTATCTCAGCAACCGATTTATTTATATTTTCATCGCTTTCCCCATTGATCCAGAACACCCCACCTGGGAAGCTATTTTTGTGGCTCCAAGCGAATTCTACAGCCAAAGATGTCTTGCCACAGCCTCCAAGCCCGCATACTGTTTTAGTGCAACAGGAAGTCCCAGGGTTGGCCTCAACGCTCTTCGAAAGGAGGCTCTTTTCCAGCCAATCAAGAGCTGACTTGCGGCCCGTGAACATTGGTAACCTACTTGGAGCGGTGCACAACGCGTCATCATCACTGTCATTCGGTTCTTGTGTGGACTGCCCTTTTTCCAAGCCTACCACTTTCTCTTGCAAAATAGACACCTGTGTAGATGTCTCCATTGCAACTTTCTGCACTTCTATTACGTTGTCTTTCAAACTTGCTACGGAAGTTTCAGTGTTGGTAACTTTAGACTGTGTTACACTCAGTTTAGTTTTGACAACTTCTAAGTCATCTTGGATGGCTTCGAAGACTTTTTGCAGGTCATCCCTTTTATTCAGAAATCTGTTGAAATCATCGACAGCTTTCAGAATGGTGGATAAGTCATTCGAATAATGTGCCATCACGTCTTTTAACTCATCCAACTGCTGTGCCAACTTCCTTATCTCTTCTCTGTTTAGATCCCCTTTTTCTTTCACGTCAGATAAATCACTCTGCATAACCATCTTGATCTTTGCCATCTCTGCGTCTACTTTCAACATGTCATTCCGAACATCAGACACATCATCTTGGCATTTTGTTAGGTCAGCTACAAGTGAATGGCGAAGCAAGTGAAGAGCCTCTATTTCAGACTCCCTGACGTTTACCAGACCTTTACGAAACAAATCTTGCAAGTCTTTCGACGATTGCTGGGCGTCTTTGTCAGCACTGAACACGGCGTCATTGAGCAGATTATTAAGATGACCAAATATGATTGAAAGATCGGCATCTTGAATTTCCTGTTTCGGAGCGTGCGCCCAATGATTCCTACACTCATCTCTTGCCGACGTCAAAACTGTTCGACTCGTAGGAGGATTAATAAAAGGACACCATTCAAGCAGGTTGAAAAGACCACCAATGTCAGTAGTTTCGGCGTCGACAACATCTTTTTTACGACCTCCAAGAGTTGGCATAAAGACTTTAGCTATCTCCCATGCCCCAGTCGGAGTTCCCCACTGTGTTCGGTCACTGTTGTCCCAGCAAATCTTCGGTCGCCCGGATGTGTGGTGACGTTTCAGTTCCTTTTTCCAAGTGTCACAAGTGAGGCACTTTGATGCTGACGATGCGCAAGCGCAAGATGAAAGTGACTGAAGCGGAGGACTGGAAATAATGGACTGGTACCAAGTTTCCATTTTGTTTTGAATTTTTGATGTAATTCCTTTTTTGGTCATATTCAGGGCACAACCAACCATCACCCAGTTTTTGTGTTCTTTCTTATCAAGCTCCGCTACCCAACCGCCAGATGCCATTATGATACTGATTTCGAGGGAAACTAAGAAACAGTACGTCTTGGAACTAAACGACAAAGCAGGAACGACGCTTTAGGCTGAGTCTAGTTCTCTTTACCTTGTCCTTTTTTTAGGCCCTTTGTAGCATTTCGTTACCGAGGATCTGCAACTGAAAGACCAAAAATCTTATAACATGATATATTTACCTTAAATACGCTAAAGTTCCCCCAAAAAGCAACAACGGCGATTTTATCAAGAACTTAACAAATAAGAATTTTCAACAGGCTCATTGAGGGACAAACGAACGGATATTTTAATAGATATTAGATATTATGGATCTGTGCAGTATAGGTGGGAGACGAAAACTGACTGATATAATGCGAGGTGAACACATGAATACAAACGCTGCTATCTTTCGATGTCGAACGCAAGCAAGCACTGGAGAAAGAAACTAACTCCCATTTTGTGGGTGCTTGATACCAAGCAATGATGGCAGCTTTCCACAGTTTTCATACGTCAACTGTCACTACGGTGGCTTGTGCATCAAGGAGACACGCACTTTTATTAGAAGCAAGCGAAACAACAGAGTAAAAGAAAATACAATTAGCTCAAAAGGTTGTTTCCTTGGTCTTAAAAAAGGTGAATGTTTGGAATAAAACTGCCCCCCCCCCCCTCCCCCATACAATTAGCTACTCACTCAGTATCATGAACAGTTTCATCAAGGTATTTAACCCTTTAAACCCTAATATCGAAAGTTAAATTCTCACTTTCTGTCTCTATGTGTTTCCTATAGCAGCAGTGGGGAGAAGCTGTTAAATTATCAATTAAATTCATCTTATGTGATCAAGACCTTAATTCGCATAACCACTCTGTTTTATACATCATAATACTACAAGGAGAAAATCAATGCTTATCATTCATAGGGATGAAAGTACTAAGAGTGAACCTACGTTGGTTGACATGCCTGTTTGGCTAGTTCATATGAATTTGTCAGGCTTGATTTTCTCGCCAGCTTTTGCTATAGCTCAATTATTATGACACTTATTTATCACTTAGGTTGACAATTTTTGATACAGAGTGGGGTGGGGCAGACCCTCCCTGAGAAGGAGGCTGTATGTAGTATGGGGATTCCTGGGTCTCTCTAATCCCCTCTGGGGTGGGTTATTGAAAGACCCTAACAATGAGTTAGACAGCTGTATACGGATGTCATTTTTGCTGAGTGTTTTCAAATTATTGGTCTTTTAATCAAATTGTCCCATATTAAGAATTTGCTTGCACTTTAACCATGACACCAACAAAAAATGAGAAAATAAAATAAGCAACAGGTTTAATAAGCAAAACAAAAATTCTGGGCTTGCAGCACGCTATTTTAAACAAATCTTACATACATATCATACCAAAAGTGGAAAGATATAGGAGAACAGAGAGGGAAAACTACAAAGCAGAAAGAGGAGACTGACGGTTCTATCAGTAATTCTCTCTGGAATTTTTTTTTCTCCCTTTCTTCCTTTCCCATTGTTCTCCTCCTACCTCTCCCTGAAATCTTTTGCCTACTAAGCAAAGTATTTATTGAAAATGCATAATTAGGTTGAGTATGATCATCCAGGTGAACGTAGTCCTGAATAGAACTGTCGTTGTTGACAGTGACTGACGTTTTGACAACTTGGGGGAGGGGTATAGAGCTTGTGACTCTGAAGATCACTACTGCACAGGTTGTCAACCCGTCAGTCACCGTCAACAACAACAGTCCTATTCAGGACTACGTTCACCCAGATGATCATACTCAACCTACTTAATATGAAATGATTCCTGGATTCAAACCTTTCACAATTGAAAATGCACTTTGTACATTTAGAAGCTGTCACTGTAAGACCCCTATTAGCTGTTGACTGTAGCTGTTCATGCAAATTTCACTATCTACTTGGGTGAACAGACTTCATCATTAGGGACCGATCGTTTATTACCTCCAGGGGGCGGGGGAGGGGGGGGCAGAAAAGTGTGGTGTATCAAAACTTACCCCCACACACAAATAATCACATATAAAAATTGTACCCCTCTTGGCAATAACAAGTTTCAAAATGCACCCCCCATCCTTGGGCATTGATTTCATAAGCTATAAGATACTGGTATATGTAGTCAGCAGCATATAAAGCATGTGAATTTAATTTTAACCCCTTCTATACCAATTAATCTCTTCTTCCATCCTTGGGCATTGATTTCATAGGCTATAAGATACTGGTATATGTAGTCAGCAGCATATAAAGCGTGAGAATTTGAAGGTGCATGCAAGGGACAAGTTAGCATGCTGAAGGCCCCCCAAACCTGGGGGAATCTGGGGGCATGCTCCCCCAGAAAATTTTTAAATTTAGGGTCTCGGAAATGCCATCTCCTGCATTTTCTGCAGGACATTTTCAGGAAATAAAGACAAAGAAAAATGCAGTAATTAGTTGTTTATTATACTTATCTCTAGTGTGATGACAGTGATGCCCGCCCCCAATCAAGGAGGTTACAAGCAAAGGGCGAGATGTGTACCCTTCAGACAGGCAAGCTCTGTTATAATGCCATCAATATTAATTATGTCCTTGTGCTCATATGCAGAATTGCAAGAGAACTCAATCTCTTGTCTGTCATGGTTCTTCTTAAGAGTTTGCAGTCTCTTCATACTGCTGAAGCTATGCTTAGCTGTGCACGTTGACACTGGATAAGTCAACAAAGTTATAAGAGCTACATGCATAAAATTATACCCCGGGATAGAATTAAAGTTGGCTTGGTCAAAAGTCTCAACCAAAGTCTGGGACATCACATTCAGATCCATTTCACTCCACTTAATCAGTAAAAGGATGAAGGAAATCCTAACACAAAAACACCCATATAATGCAAAATATTTACCCAAATTTAATAATAAAAATGCTTCCAGGAGATGAAAAAATTCTATATATTTTTCCAAATTTCAGCTGTATGCATAGGCGTTTGTGCATACATGCACACTAGATTCTTGGTAGGAGAAATAGCTGATAGGTTCCTAGGCCAAGCTTTAAACGGGTAACATTTTGTTGCTGACAAAGAACTGGCAAAAGCATATTTTTTTGTCTGCTTATGAAAGGAACATAAAAATACTTTGACAACTTTTACAGAGAAGGCCAGTCCTGTGTCTTAATGTTTCGACCCCCCTCACATTTTCCTGCATTTTCAAAATTGACCCCCCAAAATCAAGCCTCTTAGAAAATTGTAACCCCTCTCCAAAACCCCCACAAACCCCACCCCTCTCTGCCCCCGGACATAATAAACGATCAGTCCCTTAATGAATAGAATTAGATGCACACTAACTAATAACAAAAACATTTCCATTGGTATATTTCACCACAGTCTAAAGCTGTCACTGTCACAGACTTTCTAAATCACTGCTATAGACAGTGTGTGTGGTGGCTCCCAAAAGCTTGTTCTGATATCTCCCAGGTTTCCAGGAAAATCTGTATCCGTTTGTGATTGCAGGGCTAGATTTCTTCTACGCTTTTTATGTAATCAGAGCTAGATCACACAACACTCCGCAACTCAGGATAAAGATAAATTTTTACTTTTGTGGTGATACAAAGACAATAATTGCTATTATCCATTTTATAAGGGCAGAGAGGCTTTTTTCAATTCATCCATTATTATTTTATGATATAATTGTCTTTGATGTCAAGGTTCTCATTAAGAGTTGGCAGCTGGTGAAAATTCACCAGCCACTTCATGTGAACTCGCCGCCTACTTTTCTTTGGAAATTACCCCAGTTTTTACAGCAATGAAGAAAGGCAGGCATAAAATCAAGGAGACATACCTTAAAAACCCTCTGCAAGTTTTTCCTGTCCTTGACAGATGAGCCAATTATATGCGAGTCTGTTGGGGTTTTTAGTAAAATCTTCCATGTCTAGTTATGTTTGGATAGGAATGCATGTGTGTGCCAAAAGCTTGGGAGTGGCCCCAGGGTTGTCAAATGCCTGACCCCTGGGCAGCACAAAATTAGCTAATACCCCACCCCCGGGAAAGACAAGGCCTGTAGCCCGGGGCACTTTAGGAATTTCTGGGTGGGGATGTGCCACTGGAACCCTGGAACCCTGGAACCCTTGACCTATACCAGAGCTAGTTCAGCTGAATTTTGCTACCCTATACTAGAGTAAACTCCCAAAATCCCCCTATCCTAGAGTAGCTGTTTCCCCAGTCTAGATAAAATCTTCAACCAACTGATCAGTTTCCTGAAAAATGATACCCTATTCTAGACCCAAACGCTCTGATTTATATACCCTATCCTAGAGTAAACTGCTTGAAAACCATACCCTTCACAGCGGCTCATACCCATATAGCCCATATATCGCAGTACCCCCGGCCTGTAGCTTGCCCCGCACAGTTGCCCAGGAGGTGCATGGGTACAATTCTGGAAATGACTGCTCCAAGAGACTTTGGCAGACAGTGGAAAATAAAAGATAACCTCGCCCAGAGCTTGTCAGCAAACTCAAAAAAATGTAATTCATTCCTATAACGAATATTCCGGCGGAAAATTGACAAATGTCAAAGTCCCGTTATTACAGCTCTAAATAGCCTGCGTGGCAGGCGCAAAAAGGGGAGGGAGAGAGGAAGGGAGAAAAGCACGAAAGAGGGGAAAGGGAAGGGAGCGCCTGCTATAGGAGCCGGTGTTTTTGTAATCCACCCACCATTTTCTCAACTAATCTGATAATGTCACTGTCAATACGTGACCAATCACAAGTACGGGGCTTCTCAGCATGGTCCGAACTTAATTACTTTGTCAATTAAATTGTCAAGTTGAGACGCTTTTTTCAAGTGATATCATAATCGAGCGAATTGAAACATTTTTACTGTTCTTGCTCCCACAGCAAACACGACAAACATAGACTACGAGCAGTCTCTCACTTTTTTACTGCTCGCAGTCTATGACAAACAATGATCAAGACCTTTTATCTTACAACCTCATCAAGCACCGTGATGGTCACAAAGAACAGAACACTGGCCAGCCTGAGACGTGA